TTTGTAGTACCGGGACATGAAAAGAAAGTTCGTTTGCTTGTAAAATCGCTTTATGGATTAAAACAAGCACCTAAGCAATGGCATGAAAAATTTGATCATGCAATGCTTACTAATGGGTTTAAGATAAACGAATGTGACAAATGCGTCTATGTTAAAAACACTGACCAAGGATATGTCATAGTTTGTCTTTATGTGGATGACATGCTTATCATTGGAAGCAGTCAAAACATGATCGAATCCACTAAGCAAATGCTTAACAAAAGATTTGATATGAAAGATATGGGGGTCGCAGATGTTATATTAGGAATGAAAATTACTAAAACATCTAACGGATATGCATTATCTCAATCTCATTATATTGAGAAAATTCTTGATAAATTTATCAAGGATGATATGAATTTAGCCAGAACACCTGTAGACATCAGTCATTATTTATCGAAAAATAAAGGTGATGCGATGTCTCAGTTAAAATACTCCCAAATCATTAGAAGCCTAATGTATCTAATGAATTGTACTCGTCCTGACATAGCTTATGCAGTCAGTAAATTGAGTAGGTACACTAGTAACCCTAGAGAAGACCATTGGAAAGCGATCATTCGGGTTCTTAGATATCTGAGATTTCCCGTGATCTTGGTTTAAACTTTACTCGATATCCAGCAATAGGTAGGGCACAGAATCATATGTATAATAGTGGGTCACGACACATTCGTCGTCGACATAATACCGTAAGCAATTGCTCTCAAATGGAATAATCTCAATAGATTATATAAAATCTAAAGAGAATATTGCGGATCCGTTAACAAAAGGTTTAACTAAAGAGCAAGTATATAGTTCATCGAAGGGGATGGGATTAAAGCCTATTACATAAGAGTCATCATAATGGTAACCCTACTTATATGACTGGAGATCCCAAGAACTGAGTTCAAAGGGACAACTAAGTTATGTGTGGCTCGCCAGAAATCACCAAGGGATTAAAATTCCTTACCCATTCCTGTGGTGAGAGTGATATCTGCAACATGTGTTGTCTGCAGGGGTATAAGGATAAGCTTTGCTTTTAATGATTACTTATATCTTGATTAAGGTATAAAATCAAGACGAGTATAAAGAGATACTCACAATACGAATCACTTATATGAATATTGAACTGGGGCCGGTTCTATGAGAATGAAGAGGCTAAATTCTCTAGAAACACTCATGAAAACCAGGAGCGTTCAAGGCCAAAATGAACACAACAGTGAGAACCTCGATGTGTTAGAAGATATTTTGTGTGAAATCTATTGTCTTGGCTTACACAAACGGTTGAACAATTCAAGGCATCATGCCCATTGGTTAGCTAGTAAGTCCGATAGGTTATCAATAGGGAAGGTTCAAGGCCGAAAGCTACCTATCTTGATACAAGATATTTTCAATTTATACTCTTTCGACAAAGTCTGCATATTGTTGCATTCCCATTGTCATCAAATTCCATTCATGTGGGGGATTGTTAGAAATGGTTGGAAAAATTCTGGAAAAATAGAATTTTTTCCTAACTTTGGTCTATTATTTAGGAGGGACCCGTGCATCTAATTTGGCAGGTCTAAGTGGTAACACATTTTTTGCCGCGTTGTGATTTACGTGGTATATTTGGTTGCTCAAAACCATTATCGAGTGAATGGGAAACTGAAGCCAAAGTGTGCTCCATGAAAATGGAGTTTTGGTGGGAAATCCTTAAAGGTTGAAAAATGGCTTGTCCCGTATTGATTTGGTGGGAAGTTTTGAGTGGGTTTATATGGTATGGAATTGGTACTTGGGGTGTGCCCCAAGGGGTACCCAAGTTTTGTAGAGAGGGAGGTTATGGGCAAAATGGACTAGACCCATTGGACCCAAAAATCACCACACGCGCGTGCTGTCGCCGCTGTCCGTCTGGCCGGTCGGGTGGGCTGGACTAGGCCTGGGCTTAGGCGCGGGTGTGAGGTTGGGTTAGGCTTGTCCAGCCCAATACTAATCTTTTTAAAAAAACATTTGAGTTTATTTTATTTATTTTGAAATAAAATATGTCTGTTTATATTTTCAAAATTCTGGTTGTAAATTAAATTCAAATTTTGTAATGCACCTCTTTAGAAATTCTGTCCAAACCCAATTTGTTCCACCCGAACAGATTTCATATATGTTTAATTTTCAAATTCAAATAGATTCGCTTATCTATCCAATTCAAAACCAAACAGGTTTAGCACCTGTTCAAACAGGTTTGCACCTATTTAATTCAAAACCAGCAGCCACCAATCCATCTATAAATAGGCAGCCCTCATTTGATGTTTCATTCACTATTTTCATCCCAAATAGTTCTGCTATTATTCTCTTCATATTGCTGCATTAGTTTTCTGTCAAAAAGAGTATATACACTTTGTGTGTTCGTTGTACGAATAAATTGTAGTTCTGCATTTGTTCGTAGATTGATCATTTTATCCTAGGAGATTGACATCCGTATTTTGAAAGCACCGTGGAGAGGACGAATCTGTCTTAAGGACACAGTGTCTAACGCTGGACTTAATCAGTATATTATTCGAGAAATTAATCAAGTAAGTTGGTTATTTATTTATTTAAATCATATTTTGATTTTGTTTTTGTAACAAAATAAAAATCTGTTTTTTATTTATTTTATTTTATTTTATTTTATTTTCCTGGTTTGATTTTTGTAATCAAACAAATTATTTCCTTTTCTTTATTTCTTATATATTCTGTTTGTTGTTTAGTACACAACAGAATTTATTTTTCAAACACAGTAAAGATTGTCCTACAAGACAGGTTGGGGAAAAATTATAATTTTACGATAAAACATAACATCATGTTTTTGGCGACAAAACAATTAGTATCTAAAAAGAAATTGGGAAAATAGTTTGGGCAACTAAAAGTTTTGTAGCAAAAAAAAAAAAATCAAACATTTGGCGACTAAAAGTTTTATACCAAAAAAAAAAAATCAAACATTTGGTGACTAAAGGTTTTGTAGCCAAAAGAAAAGCAAAGATCGCGACTAAAAGTTTTGTAGCTAAAAGAAAAACAAACATTTGGCAACTAAAATATTTTGTAGCTAAAAACAAAAGCTGAAGAACAAAAACACTTTTGCCGACTAAAAAGTTAGTCGCGAAAAATGTGTGACTTTAGGCGACCAAATGTTTAGTAGCCAAAACAAAAACTATTTGCCGACTAAAATTTTAGTAGCCAAAAACATAACACTTTAGGCGACTAAACCTTTAGTAGCCAAAAAAATTTTGACTTTAGGCGACTAAAATGTTAGTAGCCAAAACACAAGAATTTACTTTAGGCGACTAATATATTTAGTAGCTAATTTTTTTTTTTCGCGACTAAATGTTTAGTTGTTAACAATAGCTAAAGCTTTTCCTGACAAAAAAATTGGTCACCGAAAATGTGTTATTTAATTTTATTTCCAACCTTTTGGCGACTAAATATTTAGTCGGCAATTTAATTCATTTGGCGACTAAAAAAATCTTAGTCTCCAGTTACCTTTCCCAACAATTCTTCCGCGACTAATGCTGCGACCAAACAGTTTAGTCGCTAAAAGGCTTTGGCGACTAAAAATTGACTTTTGGCGACTAAAAATTTAGTCACCAAAAGTTAAAATTCTTGTAGTGAATAATTGGAAAATCTAAAAATGAAAGAAAAAAAAAGATACATGCTGTTAACAATAGCTGAAGCTTTTCCTGACAAAAAAATTGGTCGCCGAAAATGTGTTATTTAATTTTATTTCCAACCTTTTGGCGACTAAATATTTAGTCGGCAATTTAATACATTTGGCGACTAAAAAAATCTTAATCTCCAGTTACCTTTCCCAACAATTCTTCCGCAACTAATGCTGCGACCAAACAGTTTAGTCGCTAAAAGGCTTTGGCGACTAAAAATTGACTTTTGGCGACTAAAAATTTAGTCACCAAAAGTTAAAATTCTTGTAGTGAATAATTGGAAAATCTAAAAATGAAAGAAAAAAAAAGATACATGCACACAAAAAACCTATGACTCACAAACCAACCATACTAAACAAGAAGTCATGAAACTTCAAAAATCTTTGCCAAGAGCCATGGACTGCAAGTTTTGTACAGAAGCAACACTTGACCATAACATGATTATAGATGTGATTTTTTTCAACTAATTTTAGCACTCCAATCATTGCAAAGCTCATCAGAAGATAGGCATTCATTCATTATTCTATAGTGGTATGGTTATAAAAAAAAGAAAAAACATAAAAACAATCCTGAGACTCGAGCTAAAGCGGGTACAAGATGTACAATCCTAGCACATCAAAGATTCAAGCGAAGAACTGTTGGAAGTGTTTCAAAATTTTCTTCTTATTCCTTGTCCCACATTGATTTCTTATTAATTTTCTTACACTTTTTATATGTAGACCTTTGTTATTGGGTAAGGGCCAAGGATGTGGGGAGGCTATGAAAGCTTTGGGCCCTATGTGTGCAGTCCATATATTTATAGTTTCTAACCTACAAGTTTTATGGGAGTTTCAATATTCCAATCTTAATTTTTAAATTTTTTAATTTTTAAAATAAAATAATAAACAAAAAAAAAAACCTCCCGCCCACCATTCAATTTTAGCCTTTTGAGATTTAAAAACCCTAAACCCTACCGCCGTATCTTGTTTTCAATTGACACCTCCCCATACCACCGCACATTATTTTTTTTTTATTTATGTAACGCCCCAAAAAAAACACACTATTGAAATAAAAATATTAACCACGGCTCTTAAGAGATACTGGAATTATCCCCACATATTCCATTACATAATCTCAAATGTTCATACAAGAATAATCTCACATGCAGGTACATGAATCTATAGCATGTAAAATCATTCAATCAAAATACTTAAGTGCCCTCAAGGGCTTACAAGTTCCAAGGTCTAAGCCCGGTTACACAAAAAAGGTCTCTCGGATCCATACATGAATAGCCCTTGGCATTACAAAAAATTACAATCACAAACAAAATAGAGCCTTGTGCTCTCAATTCATACTTCCACGCCCTAGTTCGGCGGGTTCACCACGTCTTTTCCTGTACCAAAATCCCATAGAGGTGAGCATAAAGTCCAGTAGAGAACTCCTAACAAAGTATATACATTTATGCAAGATTCTCAACATGATATGCACATGCCATGCTATGCCTTAAAAAAAAACTACATTTACATCTTTTGAAAACCACCATGCTCAATGTTAACTTGATATCTCAACAACTCGGGAATTTACAATTTAATTCAATGGGGCAGTAAATACAACTCAGGTAATCCGTAGGTTTGTCTACAAATAGGCATAACTAGCACTACCAAAAATCCCACTTTACCGGTTGCTAACCGGAAAGGAAGTGGTACCTCCTCTGCGCGTATTTTCGGTCTTTCACCCCGAACACTCAGGCCAACTTATTCATTTTCATCTACACCTCCTATCTGGACTTTCCAACGTATTTACCCCAAAATATTTCAATGAATTCATCACACAAAATTTCTTTCTTAATGCAAGTTTCAATCCCAAATACGGTTTTTACAATAAGCAAGGTATTTAGAATGTTCATGCAACAATAATCCATGCAATGAAATGATCAATCGAGTAATGAGGTGATTATCCATACAATGCATCGTCCTACCATTCACAAACTTTTCCACAAATCCTCCATTTGTGATCACAATTTTCGCTTTTCTTTTCAATACAATTCCACATATATTTAACATATGTACATATATGGCTATCCAAATGTAGCAACAATCCCACATCTCATGTATCCTCAACCTTTTGTTATTTCAAGATTTATATACATATATGCTTAAACAACAGATTCCAAGAAAATTTACTAATTTCACATATACTAAGAAGTTTGACATTTTGCATCCAATATCATGAAATTTCCATTTGAACACTCATTTAACACGAAGTCATAATTTCTTAACATCCACCAAAACCCCCAAATTTCTAGGTTTTTCACCCAAACAAAGCATTTCTTTATTTCTTGGTAAAATCTTACCAAAAACATCATTTTTATGTCAATGTGCTTCAACTATTCAAGAAAATCTTTCAAAGAAACAAAAGATGAATTCCTTTTGCAAGCCACTAATTTCTTGAGCCAAAAACCAACACTTTTTATAATATCTTTAAGAAAACTCCAAAATCAACAACAACCTTGCATAAACATGTATATATAACTCAAAGAAGTCCCTAACTCAAGTTCTTGTTGAAGAGATGAGATGAAACCCTAAAATCAAAGGTATAGAATTTTCGATCTCCACCACACAAAGTGAAGTGCTTGCTTTGTTCTCCAAAACTTGTGAAAGATGATGGATAAAGACCCAATGGATTGCAAGAAATCAAGGGTTTTTTTGGTGTTTGGCGAGAGTTTTTAGAGAGAAAGATGAGCAAAATGATTTTTAGAGTGAGAAAGAAATGTTCCAAAAGTGATATACACAGCCCAAATGAAGGAGGAAAAGCAAAGTTTTCGGACTCAGGCTCGTCCGCACGTGCGGCACTTACCCCTGCACGTGCGGAGCGTGCCTCCCGCTCGTGCGGCGCCTTTCCTGCACTTCCCTCCGCACCGGTAAATAATGCAGTGTGCAATGCTCGAAAGCCCTCACTTCCCCGCACGTGCAGCCCTCTCCTATACGTGCCGCCCAAGGCCCCGCACTTGCGGCCCTGGTACTCCAGCCCAGAATTCCTCGGCTCAAACCCCTGGCACTCTGGACCGAACTCGCACCCTCCGAAACAAGTGAAACTCAACACCGGAGTAAACAAGAATGAAAATTTTGAAACAAAATCCTTCGAACACAATAACCCAATGAGAACGGTGAGTGAAGCGACTCACGACGTAATCGGTCACCACAACCTCCCCACCATAGGAAATTTCATCGCCGAAATTTAAATCAACTACTCAAAAGAAAATTTTCTAGCAATCACAACCATGCTATTTCAATTCCAAACCACGAAATGAATTCTCAACCCACATTTACCATTCTCATCGTGAATATTACACTAAATTGACCATCCAAGATAAACGCACGCATGGAGCTTTTCAATAATTTAGTATCAACTCACAACAACTTCATGCTTGAAACAAGAATGTACATAATAACACGTACTTAACAATTTCAATACATTTCCCTTCAACACTAGGGAATAATACTAATGGAAAACAACTTAGGCAGGTTCAAATAAATCCAGATACTTGGAGCGAACTTCTGTTTCCCGCTCCCACGTTGCTTCTTCAGCCCCATGGTGTCTCAACAACACCTTCACTAATGGTATAGTTTTACCTCGTAGTACTTGCTCCCGGGTATCTAGTATTTGAACGTCGCTCTTCGTAAGAGACATCCTCATCTACCTCCAAATCAACCCAATCAAGCACATGAGAAGGGTCGGGCTCATACTTCCTAAGCATAGACACATGAAACACATTGTGAACCCCCGAAAGTTGTGGTGATAAGGCTAATCGATACACCACTTCCCTAATTCTCTCCAATATCTCAAAAGGCCCAATAAACCTCGGAGACAACTTACTACTTTTACCGAATCTCATCAAACCTGGCCTAGGTGAGATCTTAAGGAAAACATGGTCACCCTCTTCGAAAGACAAAGGTCATCTCCTCTTGTCGGCATAGCTTTTCTATCGACTTTGGGCCATAGCTAACCCCTTTCGAATGAGAACAACTTTCTCGGTTCTCTCCCTAACAATTTCTGGGCCCAACAACGATGCATCCCCCACCTCGGCCCAACAAACCGGTGATCTACAAGGTTGACCATACGAGGCCTCAAACGGTGCCATCTCGATGCTAGCTTGGTAACTATTGTTATAGGCAAATTCAATTAACGGAAAATGCCTCTCCCAAGACCCCTTGAAATCAAGGACACAAGCTCTAAGCATGTCCTCCAAAATCTGAATGGTACGCTCTAACTGCCCATCAGTTTGAGGGTGGTAAGCAGTGGTAAAGGTCAACTTAGTTCCCAACGCCTCTTGAAGGCTTTGCCACAACCGGACAGTAAAATGAGGATCTCTATCCGATACAATGGTTATGGGAGCTCCATGAAGTCGAACTATCTCTCTAATGTATAACTCTACCAAGTACTCAACTGAGACGCCGGTACGCATTGGAATGAAATGCGTAGACTTAGTCAATCTATCAAAAATACCCAAATGGCATCATTGCCCTGCTGTGTTCTAGGAAGCCCAACTACAAAATCCATGGTAACGTGCTCCCATTTCCATTCGGCTATCGGTAAAGGTTGTAACAAACCCGCTGGTCTTTGGTGTTCGGCCTTCACTTGTTAACAAGTAAAGCACTTTGATACAAATAAACCGACATCCCGCTTCATGCTCCTCCACCAAAACTAACGGCTAAGATCACGATACATTTTGGTGCCTCCCGGATGTACCACAAGGCGTGAGTGATGGAACTCCCAAAGGACTTCCTCTAAACAAGATTCTGATACAAACAAACGGTCTAGGAAACATATACTTAAATCTGAGTGGATGTTCCCTTCTCTTCATTCCCGTTGGAGATTCTATTATGAATTGACTCTACTTCACGGTCTCCTTGTTGTGCCTCTATAACTTTACTAATCAAGGTAGGTTGAGCACTTAAGGTAAACAAAGTTGCACCCTCATCAGACTCACCCAAGTGCAATTCAAACTTGCCGATGTCACCCAACATAACGCATTCCCAAATGGCCACACTCGCCAAACTACTCATGGATTTCTGACTTAAGGCGTTGGCCATTACATTGGCCTTTCCCAAATGATAGTGTAACTCGAAGTCATAATCCTCCAAAAATTCTATCCACCTCCGCTAGTGTAAATTCAAGTCTTTTCGAGAAAACAAATACTTTAGACTCTTATGATCGGAGAAAACCTCAAACTTCTCGCCATACAAATAATGCCTCCAAGTTTTCAAGGCAAACACTACTGTTGGTAACTCAAAGTCGTGGGTGGGGTAATTCTTCTCATGAGTTTGCAATTGCCGTCAACCGTAAGCTACAACCTTTTCTCCTTGCATCAAGACACAATCAAGCCCATCCTGGGACGCATCACAATAAATGGTGTAACCCAAACCTCTTTTTGGAATTATCAGCACCGGTGCGGTAGTTAGTCTAGTCTTAACTTCTTGGAATGACTTTTCACAAGCCTCACTCCACACAAACTTAACCCCCTTTCTAGTCAATCTAGTCAAAGGCGCGGCTAGTCTAGAAAAGTCCCTTACAAAACGCCGATAGTACCTCGCCAATCCCAAGAAACTCCGGATCTCAAAAACATTTTTGGGTTGTCCCCAATCTTGCATGGCGTCTATCTTTGAAGAGTCTACAGTTACCGTTTCTCTTGACACTACATGACCCAAAAACTTCACCTCGGTGAGCCAAAACTCTCATTTCTCAAAATTAGCGTACAACTGGTGTTCTCTAAGAAATTCAAGCACTACCCTCAAGTGAGCTTCATGTTCCTCCTCAGAGGTTGAGTAAATTAAGATGTCGTCCACAAAGACGACCACGAAATGATCGAAGTATTCTCTAAAAATTCGATTCATCAAATCCATAAAGGAAGTCGGTGCATTAGTCAACCCAAAAGGCATTACAAGGAATTCATAGTGGCCATAACGCATACGAGAAGCCATTTTCTGGATGGGATAATGTTTCGTAACTCGAAACTATCCCCCCCGAATCTCCCTAATGCCCAAAACGACGTTGTTTTGGGCATTTTACTTTCTTTTTTTTTCTTCTTCTTCCATTTCAGGTCTGAAACGCAGAGGAAGAGGGAGAGGGAGAGAGAGAGAAGAGAGGGGAAAAGGAGGAGTCGCAGGCCCGCCGCAGCTCCTCGCAGTCCGGCCGCAGCTCCTCGCAGCAGCAGCAGCTCGCCTCTGGCCCCCTCCAGTTATGGCCCCCTCCAGTCCTCCTCCTCCTCCTCCTCCTTCTCCCTTCTCTTCTCTTCTCCTTCTCTGTTTCTGAAAACAAAAAAAAAAATTAGGGGGATTCGGGAGAGAGGCTTTCGAGCTCCCTAGCATCGCCCCTTCTGGATGTCCTCCTCCCAAACCCTTAACTGATGATAACCCGACCTCAAATCTACCTTCGAAAAGCAACAAGACCCTCTAAGTTGGTCAAACAAGGCATCTATTCTGGGTAATGGATACTTGTTCTTGACGGTAACCCAATTTAACTTACGGAAATCAATACACAGCCGCAATGACCCATCCTTCTTCTTCGCAAAAAGAGCCGGCGCTCCCCAAGGCAATGTTCTAGGGTGAATGAAACCCTTGTCTAAAAGCTCTTGGAGTTGAATTTTCAACTCATGCAACTCCACGGGTGCAAACCTATACGGCGCCATGGAGATTGGTGTCGTTCCAGGCATTAAGTCAATGGTGAACTTGATCTCCTGGTGGGGTGGCAAACTAGTAAGATCCTTGGGAAATATGTTCGGGTATTCACAAACTACCCTTGGCAACTTAACACGAGTCCCGTCACTCTTACTATCCAAGAGAGTAGCGAAAAGGCCACTAAGCTCGTTTCTACTACGAGGGTCATAAATTGGCAACAAGACCCTATTAACCCGGTCTTCCAGAAAGTAAAAACAATCACCACTCAAGGTGCACACTGTGACCCTCTGACGAAAACAATCAATCACCGCTCAGTACGAAGATAACCAATCCATACCTAGAGTGGCATCAAAACACGACATGTCTAGCAACACAAAAGCAAATGAGAGTCGATGCCCGGCAACCACTATCTCACAACCACGACATCCTCGGTCTAAATCAACTATACCACCGACTGGTGACTCAACTTTGAGCAAAGATGTTAGCCGTGCCACCTCTAACCCCAATGCAAATGCGAATGCTGCAGATATGAATGAATGAGACGCACACGTATCTATCAACACATTAGCCAAAGAATTACACATAACAAAATACCTCTCACAATTGAGGATTCTGGCAACTGCTCTGGAGCGGTAACAGCATACACGAGCCCCTGTAGCCTCTAATCGACCAGTTCATCTCTCGGAGCATAGGCCTACTGCACTAACTGAGCCAAAATAGCTCCCTGATTAACTCACGAAGTCTGAACTGAATGAGCCTGTTGGTGGCTCTGAGTCTGCCTCGACCCCGATGCGCCAGATACGCCTCCCAACTGCGGGCAAGCTCTCTTCATGTGTCCTAACTGACCGCACTGATAGCAAGTAGGCCCTTGCCCCCTACTTTAAGACTAACTCTGAGATCGGTTAGGTAGTGGTAGTGGCAACATCTATTGTCCTCCTCCCTTCTGCAGACATGCAAAGGCCTTATGACCCAATTGGCCACACTTGAAACAGGAAAGACCACTCGGTGCACTCTTCCCTGAGCCCGCACAAAGGCAAGGGAAAGGTGGATCTAGACTGCTAAGGTTGGGACTGGGATGAAAAGGTGTTTCTACTCTTCTTGTTGGGTCTATAGTCCCCCTGTGACCCTTGACCCCTCGATCTTGAACCCCGGATTCTTTCCTCCTCAGCCTCTACGGTAATCTCCACATATGCTGCCACCTCCACAAGACGGTCATAATTTTGAATCATGTTCCCGGCAACCTTGAACAAGATCTTAGTTCTCAACTTCTTCTCGAATTCAATGCAACTACGCTATTCCGTTGCTACCAACTCCGGTGCAAACCGGGACAAACTAGAGAAGGCCACTTCAAACTCGGCCATGAATATATTGAGTTGCTTGAGGTCCTGAAATTCTTGCCTCAACCTCTCCTGAGCAGTAGGAGGCAGGTACTTGTCTTGGAAAGCCACCACAAATGCTTCCCACGTTGGTTCTACTCGGCCCTTGGCATATTTCCACCATTGGCCCACATCTCCTTTGAGGTAGTAACTCGCAAGAGTCACTCTTAGCTCACTATCTTCTATGTGAAGCATCTCAAATGTATTCACTGTTTGTTCGAGCCACTCATCTACTTTCTTGGGCTCGGGACTGCCGTGAAACTCATCCGGTTTGGCCTGCAAAAACTCCTTAGTGAAAAAGCTCGCCCTTGTCTCTACGGCATTCTCTCTAGCTTGGTTCTCTGCCCTTACTATATTCATTGACTACCTCAAGGCCCTCCACCATTTCTCAAGCTAGGGCCCCCATTGCGGCTTGACCCGCTTGCCCCGGAATTTCCACTTGCCCCACTTGTTCGGCCATATTAGCTTGGCCCAACCCCTCCTCTTGCACCGGAACCTCATGGAACGGTACCTCATACACACCCCGGAGAGCCCTACCACACTTTCCACCTCTACCACCACAGGTATGACCCCTTCCTAACATCCTAATCAAGGAATAAAATAAACAATTTAGCACATAATCTCAAATATGCTCGCGACTTCTCTCACATGTTAAACCACAATAATTTTTATATATATCCCACCATACAGACAATTCAATTCACCCCACATAAACTCTTAGTCACGTAAGCACATACGAATTATTCTTTTGTGATGAGACTCGTCCTACGGAAAACCAAGAATTCTTAGTAGAACGAGTATTGATCAAGTACCATTTCTATTAAGACCTCAAGGAATTTAATAGGCGCAAACAATATCCCAAAAGTCCAATCCCATACCCATCTAGTCATATTAACATGTTATCACATAATCACAAAATACTAGACATTTCCTAATCATGCACAATGAACCCAATGTGGTATAACAATCACTCCCTGCAAGCCCCAAGTATTCAAACCCGATAGCTCTGATACCAAGTTGTAACGCCCCAAAAAAACATACTATTGAAATAATAATATTAACCATGGCTCTTAAGACATACCGGAATTATCCCTACATATTCCATTACATAATCTCAAATGTTCATACAAGAATAATCTCACATGCGGTTATATATTCTCTGAATCCTAGTACTAGAATCTATAGCATGTAAAATCATTCAATCAAAATACTTAAGTGCCCTCAAGGGCTTACAAGTTCCAAGGTCTAAGCCCGGTTACACAAAAAAGGTCTCTCGGATCCATACATGAATAGCCCTTGGCATTACAAAAAATTACAATCACAAACAAAATAGAGCCTTGTGCTCTCAATTCATACTTCCACGCCCTAGTTCGGCGGGTTCACCACGTCTTTTCCTGTACCAAAATCCCATAGAGGTGAGCATAAAGTCCAGTAGAGAACTCCTAACAAAGTATATACATTTATGCAAGATTCTCAACATGATATGCACATGCCATGCTATGCCTTAAAAAAAAAACTACATTTACATCTTTTGAAAACCACCATGCTCAATGTTAACTTGATATCTCAACAACTCGGGAATTTACAATTTAATTCAATGGGGCAGTAAATACAACTCAGGTAATCCGTAGGTTTGTCTACAAATAGGCATAACTAGCACTACCAAAAATCCCACTTTACCGGTTGCTAACCGGAAAGGAAGTGGTACCTCCTCTGCGCGTATTTTCGGTCTTTCACCCCGAACACTCAGGCCAACTTATTCATTTTCATCTACACCTCCTATCTGGACTTTCCAACGTATTTACCCCAAAATATTTCAATGAATTCATCACACAAAATTTCTTTCTTAATGCAAGTTTCAATCCCAAATACGGTTTTTACAATAAGCAAGGTATTTAGAATGTTCATGCAACAATAATCCATGCAATGAAATGATCAATCGAGTAATGAGGTGATTATCCATACAATGCATCGTCCTACCATTCACAAACTTTTCCACAAATCCTCCATTTGTGATCACAATTTTCGCTTTTCTTTTCAATACAATTCCACATATATTTAACATATGTACATATATGGCTATCCAAATGTAGCAACAATCCCACATCTCATGTATCCTCAACCTTTTGTTATTTCAAGATTTATATACATATATGCTTAAACAACAGATTCCAAGAAAATTTACTAATTTCACATATACTAAGAAGTTTGACATTTTGCATCCAATATCATGAAATTTCCATTTGAACACTCATTTAACACGAAGTCATAATTTCTTAACATCCACCAAAACCCCCAAATTTCTAGGTTTTTCACCCAAACAAAGCATTTCTTTATTTCTTGGTAAAATCTTACCAAAAACATCATTTTTATGTCAATGTGCTTCAACTATTCAAGAAAATCTTTCAAAGAAACAAAAGATGAATTCCTTTTGCAAGCCACTAATTTCTTGAGCCAAAAACCAACACTTTTTATAATATCTTTAAGAAAACTCCAAAATCAACAACAACCTTGCATAAATTATATATAACTCAAAGAAGTCCCTAACTCAAGTTCTTGTTGAAGAGATGAGATGAAACCCTAAAATCAAAGGTATAAAATTTTCGATCTCCACCACACAAAGTGAAGTTCTTGCTTTGTTCTCCAAAACTTGTGAAAGATGATGGATCAAGACCCAATGGATTGCAAGAAATCAAGAGTTTTTTTGGTGTTTTGTGAGAGTTTTTAAAGAGAAGGGGCAGCAAAATGGTTTTCAGAATGAGAAAGAAATGTTCCAAAAGTGACATACACAGCCCAAATGAAGGAGGAAAAGTAGAGTTTTCGGACTCAGGCCCGTCCACACGTGCGGCACTTACCTCTGCACGTGCGACACTGGTCCCGCACGTGCGGCACCTTCCCACACTTCCCTCCACACCTGTATATAATGCAGTGTGCAATGCTCCTCACTTCCCCGCACGTGTGGCCTCATCTCCCACACATGCAACCCTCTCCCGCACGTGCGGCCCTGGTCCTCTAGCCCAGAATTTCCTCACCTGGCACTCCGAACCGAACCCACACCCTCCAAAACAAGTGAAACTCAACACTGGAGTAAACAAGAATGAAACTTTTGAAACAAAATCCTTCGAACAAAACAACCCAATTAGTATGGTGAGTGAAGGGACTCACGACGTAACCGGTCACCACAATTTAGCTCTACAACCTGACAACTCCATAGCCATAATCTTCAATTCAACACAATCTTCACAATCTTCACAATCTTCAATTCAACATGTAAGTAATGGTTTCTTTTTTTTTAATTATTTTTTTATTATAAGAAAAAATGTTATTGTGGTTGTTTACACTCCGTTTTGATCATATGGTGATTGTACTTTTAAACTGATTGTGTTCTTTTACACTCCATTTTAATCACATGGTGAGAAAAAAAATTATAATTAGGTTTTTTAACTCACTGTGTTTTTTGAAAAAAAAAAATAATTGTGTTTTTCAATTATCAATTGACTTAATTTATGATTGGGTTTTTAACTCACTCTATTTTTTGAAGAAAAAAAAAATGATTGTGTTTTTTAACTATCAATTGACTTCAGTGCTCCTTTTTTTTTTATGAGCAAAAATGTGATTGAAGTTTTTTATACTTTGTTTTGATCACACGGTAATTGTATTTTTAAACTAATTGTGTTTTTTTACACTCCATTTTAATTACATGGTGGGAGAAAATTTTGTAATTAATTTGTGATTGATTTTTTAACTACCAATTGATTTCATTGCTTTTCTTTTTATTATGAGCAAAAATGTGGTTGTGTTTTTTTACACTCTGCTTTGATCACATGATTTTTTACACTACATTTTGATCACTTGATAAGGAAACAAAAAAATTGTATTTTACACCTCCACATACCACCGCACATCTTATTTTTTTTATTTACCTCTACAACCGCAATCTTCAATTGACACATCCGCAGCCACAATCTTCAATTGAAATTAAACAGCCTAGAAGTAATCTTTTCATTTATTCTTCTAACGCTTGCTTTCCTTTTTATTTATTTATTTTTATTATGAGCAAAATGTGATTGTATTTTTTTACACTTCATTTTGATCACATGGTGACTGCATTTTTTAACTGATTTTTACACTCCATTTTAATCACATGATGAGAAGAAAAAAAATTTGTAATTAGGTTTTTTTAACTTACTATATTTTTTATAAAAAAATTGAAAAAAAAATGATTGTATTTTTTAAGTATCAATTGACTTAATTTGTTATTAGGTTTTTAACTCACTATGTTTTTCTTTAAAAAAATGATTGTGTTTTTTAACTATCAATTGACTTCATTCCTTTCTTTTTTCTTTAATTATGACCAAAAATGTGATTGCGTCTTTTTACACTCTATTTTGATCTTATGGTGATTTTATTTTTCAACTGATTGTCTTTTTTTACACTCTATTTCGATCACATGATGAGAAAAAAAAAATTGTTTAGGTTGTGACAATCTCTATGTTTTTGAGAAAAAAAAAAATTGGATTGTATTTATTAGATTCACATAAAGTTTTCATTATTGATGATGATTAGATTGTATTTTGTCTATCAAATTTATTTGGTAATGTTTCTTGGAAAAAATGGTTATTAAAGCAATGTTTACTAATGGTATTTCTATTTAAGGAAGCAAATAAAAAAAACTGAGCGTTGTTTTTTTTTTTTCCTTTGTGTATTTTAAGTTGTTAATCATGTTGTTTAATTTTGATGATGTCTAAAATATTATTTGAAAATTTTGGATTTTTTAATATACATATTATATATTATTTGACACAAAATATTATCTGTTTAAAATATCGGTTGTATAATATATTTGTCATAAA